AGGGAGAGAGAGAGAGAGAGAGAAAGAGAGAGAGAGAGAGAGAGAGAGAGAGAGAGAGAGAGGGAGAGAGAGAGAGAGAGAGAGAAAAAGATCCGTTATCCGTATAAGTAATGCACTTGAACCTCCGACCCTAATAACCGGATAATCAGTTCAGTTTTGACTGACGAATTCGGAATTTGGCCCACCTCTTGCCAGCTCTGGGCTCGACCCTGTCGCTCAGTTTCTTCAGTTCCCTACCTGTGCCTGTCCCCGACAGGCCGTTCTGTTTGCCCAAGCGTCACTTGTGTGTGTAAACGTCTTCATGCCTGCCACTCTAGGCCAGGACTAGAGTTGTGTGTTGTAACTGTCTTCCTTCTTATTCCTCTCGGCTTCAGATTTAGGTGAGCGATGAGATAATTATTATGTGGTGGTAATGTTAATATAATCAGGACCTAGGCGAGTGAAGATAATATAGCACAGTGGCCACAGTTTGCGCCTTATCTCCCCCACCAGTGTCTGTGTGTTAGCCAGTGGTAATTGAAATAAGCTCTTGGGTACTTCGATAAAGGAGATTCCATCGGTGCTGTAATGAAAGTCTACCTACGTTCTATGCGAAAATTAGGTCGATCTAACTCCGAGTACTGATTTTGGTGACACTTCTTTCTCAAATTAATTCGAAGTTGAAATATTTTTTGCTGTTATGTTATTTTTTATTTATTTATTTATTTATTTATTTATTTATTTATTTATTTACTTGTTGTTGTTGTTTTTTTCCCATCTCGCTTTGGTCTAGCTTCTATACTTCTGAGAGTTATGACCTACCCATAAAAACATTGCGCAAAATCATGTTCCGTTATAATACACAATGCCATAATTCATTGTTGGCTTTATACCATTTAATTTTTTGTATCTATCTATCTATCTATCTATCTATCTATCTATCTATCTATCTATCTATATGTTTGTCTATCTACATGTCTATCTATTTATCTATCTTATCTATTCTATATAATCTTTATCGGCCCGTCCGTTCGTCCGTCCGTTCGTCCGTCTGTCTGTCTGTTTGTCTGTCTGTCTGTCTGTCTGTCTGTCTGTCTGGTCGCCACACTGGCCCCAGTGAGGAACTAACCGTAGGTGCATCGTCTCGTTTGAACTCAAGTACCCAATACAGAGGACAGCAGCTGGGAAAGTACCCATTTTTGGATAAACCGGATTTTTTGGTTACTTTACTACTTGTTATCAACGAGGTACAATGCACTGTAGAAGTTCCTTCTTCTAAGTCTATCGTTTAGGTAAATTCACATCATGCATACTGCTTTAAGATTGTCAAGACGAAAAAGACCACATCATACAATGCGCTGTCGTTACTTACTCAATGTGTATCGTCTAGACAAGGCAGTACTATGCATACATCTTTAAGACCGTCTGTCTTATAAATTAATGTTAACCTTATAGCCTGTGTTGCAACCGAATTAAGAGAAATCTTAGCTCATCTGAGAAACGGAAACCAAAATACAAACGTGTGAAGATCCTCGTAAGCCGCACGCTTCAAATCTTAAACCAACTGTTTTAAAGGGATTCCTGTAATCCTTTTCGAATAAATTAGGAAATGTTTGTCTCAGAGTCAGGATGCGTTATGCAAGATAACTAAACGGACTTTTCCCCCTTAACCCCTTTGCATTATTATTTTTCCTGCTCAAACGGGTGAGAGAATTTAACAGATAAATATATGTATTATCTAAAATAATTTAACTTCTAAGCCTAACCATAAAATTAAAAGACTTAAAAAGATAATAACTCGCTCAAACGCCCAGAGAGAGAGAG